AGAAAATTCCTTGAATTTCATTTTTGCTTTACAAATGAAACCATGCAAGGATGCTACAGACACCTTGAAATTCAGCAAATGTTTTAAGCATATATGAACCGTTGTCACTGAGACTGTCAAATACATGCTTTCATACGAACTGTCCTGTAATCCATAAAACTTGCTGAATTGAACACTTGATCGCAGAATCTTAATTTTGCATTCAGATTTTTGCAATTCAGTTGTCTTCGTAACTACATGGTAGTTATAGAGCCAGTCAAAACAAAAGTGCTTGCCTAAAAGAGAAGTGAAAATTAAAAGGAGAAAACAGACCCAGTTTGTGTCTCGTCTTGTTTTTGTTTCTTATGTTTTCACAGCACCTACTACGCCTAGGGTTTTTTCTTTTTTTTTTCTTTTTTTTTTTCAACTGAGTATACTTTTCTTTGCTTTAAGGCTACCGACCGAGTCCTCGCGATCGTGCTTCCAGAGGCCGGGGTGGAATTGGACCGTCTTGGACAAGTGCAAATAGTAGTAGCAGTGGTGGCTCAAGAGGGAAGTTTGTTAGTGGAGGCAGTGGAAGAGGTCGTCATGTACGTTCCTTCACACGATAAAATGAGAGCTAAAGGAAAAGCCTACCACGTGGACTTCTTGTGAAGATGACAAAGAAAAATGGAGGCACTAAAGGACCAATTTGGAGTTACTGGGTATCTGGAGGACACCAAGAGAATATTTTTGTCTGAAGAAAACAGTTTTTGTTTGATACAAGACTTGAAATTTCAATAAAATTCAAGACTTTTTGTGTACAATTGTATATTTTTTGTTCCTTTTGAAAGAACGTTTTAATTTTTGTGGACTTTGGTAGACAATATTCAGTAAAGAAACTCTTTGAGTTAAGAGTTGAAGGACTCTTAAAGTACTCATTGTGCCAAAAAGAAAGGTACAGGTGTGTTGTGCGTGATTTATTACTGCAAGGAAATTTAAAAAAATGTGTAAGGCAATTTTAGTTTTTTCTCTCAGGTTTAGAGCTGTTAGCCCTTTTTTATCCAATCTGTAATTAATGAATGAGGTCTTCATCTGACCCACTGTTGAAGTAGCAGGGGAAACATTTAGTAGAAGATTGACTTAATCTGTGAAAGAAAGCAAATGTATAAATATAGTTTATATAAATGTTGTTGTACATCCTTGATGCCATGATTAGACGGTTAAGTAAGATCCTGCACCTCTTGAAATCCATAGAAAATCTTTCATTGACTTCAGTGAGAATGAGATAACATCCTAGTATTTACTTTACCACTCCAGCTTATATATTAGGAATATAAATATCCTTTCTCTGGAAAACAGAGCATGCTTCAGGGTTAGAAGGCAAGACACGCTTGCTCTGAGAGTCTAGAGTTAATCAGTTGCTTACCTGGCTGCAGGCTTGTGTAGCTGGGGAGAGCGGCTAGAGAGATGTATAAACTTAACCACCTCAGAGTGAAGCATTAACACCAAATCTTTCCTTTGAATAGATGGTTTGGATTTGTGTTTCTATAATTCTTCTTAGACTGAGATCTATTGCAAATAGAAAAACTTTGAGAAGTAGGAATTCACAAAAACATGTTACCACTAGATTTACCCCCAAGTTTATTTTGATATTAAACTCAATGACTGAAGTAAGCTTTTTACATGTCTGCATTCCTTTGCTCTCCATGGGATTTCATAGAAATAACTAGTTCCCAATAACCTTGCATTGGATGTTTGGATGGGCTGAGCAGTGGTAGCTTTTTTAAAAGCCTATATAAAATCTTTACCTATGATCTCCACCGTAGACTTCACTGAGCTTGATTTTTCACCCTTTGGTCTCAACATTACATAAGAAAGTGCTATAAAGGGGTCTTCGTCTACTCAAGCAAGGCCTAGTTGTACTGTTCTTACTTTAAGCAGTCTTACTTTGGGCTGCTAGTTTGCATAGTATCATAAGCTTCAACACCCTATTTTAAGTGTTCCCTAAAATATGAGCATATTTTAAAATTAATATTTCCAGCTTTATACTGACTGGTTAGATTAAGTAGGTTTTTATCTGAACTGTAGAAGGCCCCTTCTTACATGTACTTTCTCTGTGTGGGGTCTCTGGGCCGCACTGTCCCACAATTTCTGAGAGTTGATTAGTTTACACAAAGTCAATTGACATAATCTATAAAAGCGGAAAAGTACATTTTTCTATTAGTTGACTGAGTGCAGTTAAAGGGAAAAATATTAGTTCACAGAGAGATGTATTTTAACATTGTTTAGATAACAAGGTGAACAAAAAATTGCTTGGAAGTCAAAACTTTCTGAATGGTAAAAATAACAGGAAGATGTAATTTTACAATAATGAACTGTAATGACTAAAATGGGTGGAGCACTCAGACATTACAGATATTAATACTATTTTTTTAAGGAGCACTGCAGAAATGTTTTTAAAGGTGACTAGCTCCTTTATGCCATGTATTTAAGTTTTTTTTTAATTTTTTTTAAGAAACTTTACAGTCTTTGAAACTAGCAGCCATGTGAGTGATTTGTTTTCACACAAGGAATTTGAAATGAAAAGTGAAGAAAAGTATCAAGCATGTGTAAATATTGAGTACTGGTTCTCAAAAATATGAAATATGGCATGTCACATTGGTCACTTTGAAATTGGGAAGAACTAAAGGGTTGTTTAAATTGTTCAAGATGAACATAATCTCTGTAAATTTAGTCAAACTTGAAAAAGAAGTATATGTCTATTTTTTTTTGAAAATAATTTAGTTCAGAGGTCCTTCACTGCACAGTGGTTCCTTTCTTGGATAAATTTAACTTGAAGTATTGCTGTAAATGCCGTGTTTAAAATTTTGAGTTATTTGGTTTGACTCTTAATTCTTATCTTGAACAAATAACACTTAAATCATTAAATTTCACTTTTTAATACCATGCCAAAAAAGGAATTTAAGTTTTGTTTCCTAACTGGAACACTAGAACAATGTAAGTGGCTGATGTCAAAATACTGTTCATTATATTATTATACACTTACTTACCTGATGAGCAAAGCACTTGGGAAGGGCAAGTAATGTTAAACAGTTCCACAAGACAATACAGTTCTTCCTCCTAAAATCCTATGGCTGAATACACAGACTATGTCTGACAGTGTGTGTTAAGAAAAGGAGAAAATCTTAACAAGAGCTGCTTTTTTTTTTTTTTAGGTTTAACTTTGTAAACATTGCCTTGGTTATTTTAATGTCCTAGTTAAAGGACTGACAAATGTATAGAATGCATAGTTGATGGGCTAGTGGTAAGACGAGTTGTGCGTGTTTTATTTTCAAAGTCTTCAGCAGCTTGTGGCTTGTTATTCTATACTGTCTGAAGGCCAGATGTAGATAATGTATATAAGCAGATATACATTATAACAGGATATTTGCAAGATATGCTACTATTTACAGCTGTGACATGCAAGCTTTTAGTTTTTTTCACTGAGTAACTAGTCCCATCAGGTAGAAGAACATGCATGAGAAAGTTAATGTAGGCTGCATGCAACAAATGCATGCTCTGGCTTATCCTGTATCTTGACAGTTAATGTTTAAGCAAATACATCTCAAGATTGCAACCTACGTGCAAATTTCAAAAGACTTATTTTCCTGTTCTTATATGTTCTTACTTCACATGTAGGATATATATGGATATGGAAAACCTCCATTAGGGATGAGAGCCCTTTAATTGATGGATAGTGTATTTTTCCCTTCTTGCCAGTTTATTTTCCTGCTGTCTCTGGCCATCATACTCCTGCATTCTAGTTTTCAATTTTGCTAGTTCTTCTCTGTCAGAACGGCTGCTCATCCCCTTCAGAAACTCCCATCTGGAAAGCATGAAAAACATCCTAGACCAAGATGCCCTTTGATCCAATGTTTGCCTCATTTGTTACTCAATATATCCTTTATACTTGGCAAAAAGTTACACGACTGGCTGGTATATAGCCTTACCTACTTCAGTGCATTTGACCCTCTATGACAGTTTTGTCATGGCTTTCTGTACTTTAAATATGCTGGATGCACAGTAAAGTATGCTATTTCATCTGATAAAGAGGACACTCAAAACTAACAGAAAGAAGTGAAGCAACTTGCATTCATCATTATATATACTCTTTATTAATTCAACTTTTATACAAAGTGTAATTCAAATGGATACAAATACTGTTATTGTTTCTTTTACAGACTAGAGTTTAAGGTCCAAGATATCACTGTTTTATCCTTCTTGTATCTATAAAGGTAGAAAATGTAAATACATTGGCAGTGAACCATAATGCTGGAAGACAGTTCAATGTTTATTTGTTAATACAAAGTTGCATAGAGTTGTAGGTCTTTGTAAAGGCATCTATCTGTATGGTAAAATCTCCCTGACCTACCCTTCTTCATCCAAGAAGCAGTACATAGGGAAGGAAAAGGCTAGTACTGCTCCATTTAACTATTATCTAGCACTTCTAAATAAAACAGCTGTAGAAAAGCACCATGCCAAAAACATCAAGGAGAACAGCGTATGAAAAATTTAAATTTATTTTGCAAGGCTCCCCATTCTGACATATATGTCAGGAACTGTTCACCACCTGGGATCAACTTTAACACATTGAACTTATCAAAATGACCTAAGAATGTCTGCGGTAACGCTTTTTCTTCCCCAGCTAATATGCTTTCCTGTAATATGTATTTTGCTTGACTATACAAATCACTTCTCTTCTGCCCTGACAAAAACCCACTGTATATGTATGTGTGCTGTTAAATTAATATGTCATATAAGACTGTTAATCTAGTACAAGAATCCTACTAACTAAAAACTCTTTGTTTAATTACTAAGGCCAGCCTAACTACCTTGCAACTCTTACCTCTCACTTAGATGCATGTTTCTCTATTCTAGAAGTCTTTTGGAAAGTCTCATTTAACCCCAGAAGACGCTTTCCCAAAGATTACGGTTGCCCTCCACTAAAGAAAGCAAGCCTAACCACAACAGTCCATACTGGCCAAGCCCACTGACAATATTTTGCTTTGGGAGGAGAGAAGGACAGGGCATGCAGCTTTAATACTGAAGGAAACAGGAAGCATGTCTTGAACTTGACCTCTCCAATGGAGAGGTCAGTTTAAGGGAATTAATTTAAATATATCTGAACTGATCTCTTATGTCTTCAGAATAAGCATGTAGATTTTGATTTTCGTTCAAAGACAAACTAGGTCCTTAGTGTTACTCTTTTTCACTCAATTTAACGTAGTTGTCGGGATTTGCTCAACTTCTTGTAATTTCATGTACTTTACTTAACGGCTTGCTCTCAATCAGAGTTTTATTAGCGAATCATCTCCCAGGTTTGGTACTGTTACATTTAGCACCCACTTAGTTGTGGATAAAGGTTTAATCCCCTTTTAATTCTAATGCTATTTCAATTGTAATGCCACAAGCTAGCAAGCTAACAAGTATAATGGTGAGTTGGTGCACAGGCTGGTGCAGCTGTATCATTGCTCAGGGTGAGGGAAGGTGATGGAACTCTAGTTACTCTTTCTTTCCACTCTCCATTAACCTGGGCCTGCTCTACAGTTTGTGCTCACCCTTTCCTAGCTGCAAAGTGTTATTAGAAGCAACTAATTATACTACTGTTTGCATGGTTACTGGTCCATTTGAGTAACTGTTCAACTTGCTATCAGCACAGTCCCCATTGTAAAGAAATGGGATCAAGATGTGATTCAATCTGAGAGTATTTAGGATCATTGTTACCAGTAATTCAGTGCTTGAATCCTCCTGTAATGCACTTTGAGCAGTTTTTCATATAATCCTAAAATACAATTATGACTAGGGAACTATGCATTTCCAAATGATCATCTGCACTTACACTAAGTCTTCTACAATATCTGGACCCTTAGTTTTCATGAAAAGGATTAACAGACTGTCTGAAAGAAAAAAAATCCTTTGCTTCTGCCAGCTGTTATTAAAAGCTGTAATACAAGAGACTGCAAAAGCTAAGTTTAGATAAAATATTAACATAATGGACTATTTAATTTCATTCTAGTTGAACTAGGTAAAATGATGACTATGTTCAAGCATACCCAACCTCATATATCTCTATATACCTGTACCTCCATATACCTTCATTTAAAATACCTCTGTGAGTGCTTTCTTACTGCTAAGGGAAACCCAAGCTGACAGGTCATTCCAGCTGCAAGTGGGCCCAAAGTGTTTCCATTTTTGAACACTGGAAGTTCAAACTCCAGAGCTGGCAACTAGGAGCTACACAGATTGCACAGCAGAAAGTGCTTTTTTTACACTGAGGAGTTGTTTTCTTGCGGAGTTTTATGTCTGTCCCCTTAGGACACAGACAGCAGACCAAACGCTAAGTAAATACTAAATACATCTTATTTTCTGCACTAGAATTAGGAATTTCACCCTGTTATTTATAACTAAAAGCAAATGCAGAGATCCAATTATGCAAAAAGCATGGAGCTAATAACATGCTTTTTGTGGCCAGAACGTAAAAGATAAGGTGATCGTTACTGCCCTCCAATTCAGGAAGGATGATCAAGCTCATCTTGATAGGATGAAGGATATAGGTTTTTGAAGGAATTTTCTTCTTTCACTTTAAGCAAGGTAGATAAAAGTTACATCACAGAACCACACAGTTACAGTACACAGAAAAACATCCTGAAAAAACACTGATTCTAATAGCATGAAATCTGTAATTGCCAAGCAGCTTCAAAATTAGTGTGAATGCTGAAACAGAGCCACAAAGACCACAAACACTAACAGCTTGCTTATTTAGAGTACAAGATAATGAAAGCATTCTTAGGTTCTAACTACAATTTTAATGTGTCCACTGATGTATGTGTCCACTGATGTATGTGTGATCACTGAATGCTTGGCGTGAATGAAGGCCTAATCTTAGCTACTATTCTACTGTCTCACATTGTTAGATATGGTGCTTAAGAGATGTGCTATGTCATGAGTTGGGAAAGACTGCTCTAATGACCTAAATACTGTCAGCAATTGTAATTTAGTCTAGAATTTAAGTGTGAAATAAAAAACAAATAAACATTTGGAAATAGCTCTTCCTATGAATGTTTTCTTCCAGGAAAAAAAAAAAAACTTTATAGGAGTTATTTCAGTGGATTTCTAAGTCCACACAAGGGCTGACCGTATGTATGTTTCCTTTCAGTGGTGCTAAAGAAAAAAGTGAATTATAAGGATTTATTAATGTCTGAATTTTAATTAAGAGAGCTCTGACCACAAATCCTTATAATGTAGTGTACGTGCTAAAGAAGGTTGCTGTCTCTCTCTTTGGTTATGTTGTTAGCTGTGAGAGCATTGATCTGAGTGACAGCAAGGCACACACAGTAGTAATTTGCCTTCTAAACTAGAAAACTAGCTTATTAAGACTGTTGCACCTGCATACTGTTTTCCTGAAAATTCAGAACTGATTCAGCACATTCAGTAAACAGGCCAGGTTTCCCCCTAGTTACTCCACCAAAGAGCTGTAACAGAGGACAGAATATGGCTCAACTATAGCACTGAAAACAACACAAACAGGCTGTGTGAAACTCTACAAATTTCTCAAGCGTACTGCAGTCCTTACAGGCAAATAAACTCTCCCTTGTTTCAGGATTTGTGCGCCTCTTATAAAATCTTAGCTCTTGTACAGTTGCAGACTTGAGTACTAATAAGGAAGTCCGAAGTCCATACGACTGTGCAAATCTTTGTTCATTGTGGATATTGATGTTCAAGTAGCCTTAAACCTGCCAAAAGAAAACTAAAGATACTCAGATATTCATATATGCTTTAAAGATATCGAGTACTGCATGGGCTGGTCTTCAGCTCAAAGGTCTCTGTAGAAATAGCTGCTATCTTCACATCAAGGAAATAAAGTGTTGTGAATTGTGAAAATACGCAGAACTCATCATGCATTATTACCAACTAGGTAATACACATATTACTGACATGACAGAGGTATGGGAATGAACATTAACAGCTCTCTAGGCATGCTGCTCAAATACAAACCCCCCCAAATTTCTGAATACAAAGCAAGATCCACTCCTGCAGACTCCTTCAAATTATGCACGCACCTGTATAAAAGCTTTTGGATGACAGCATTACACATTTAATAATAGACTGATAGCAAAGTCCAGGGTATCAGCCTGAGAAATTAGAGAAGCTCTAAAGCAAAAATCAACTTCACTTGAAGGTGTTACATAGCAATAGAATTAGAATTCCAAGTGCTTTCTTTTTGCCTTCAAAACATATCTTCTATAGCCTGTAAACAAACAAAATCTATTACTTTCTATTATTGACTTTCCCTGAAATTAAACTACATCCTAAATGTCATTATTGATTACAAAATTTTCTCTCCGGTTGAAGCATAAGCATACATTAGGCTTAAATGCACTCTGAAGGGCCAGGAAGGAAAAAAAAAAAAAAAAACTTACGTGTTATTTAATTTAAAAAGTTCTAACTTCCAGGCTTGAAGAAATCCTGTAAATGATGCAAAGAGCTACAAATCAAGCCCCTCATTGCCATTTTATGAAAACATTAGCTAAAAATGTCTTTTTAAATTGCAAGTTTTAAAGTCCAGTGTTCCACAGGAGAAAATTCCCCTCATTATTTTTTATAGCCCAAGAGGAAAAAAGTAGTAATTTGGATTTAAAAAGGAAACAAGTAAATCACAAATGATATAAGGCTTACCAATCATTCGTTCATAGAAAGCAGAAAAGTTTGCTAGACAGTGAAAGAAATTAGAAGAAAATGTTTCTGAGCTTACTTTTATTTAGATAACGGTAACTTCCCTAGGTTTTCTTTTCACGCTCTCTAGTCGCGTCAGAGGGCGGAAGCTTGTTGACTTCTTGTTTCCTTCTGTAGTATTTAATCGACAGTCTTTCTGCAGGCCTTTCAGAAGCTCCATTAATTCCCGCTTTTCTAGCTCTGCCTGCTCCAGCTCTTGACGATGCTGTCTCTCTGCAGCCATCAAAGACCGTACATCTGACATCATTCGTGACATCTGACTCTGAAAAGCAAATAGAAACTACTGCAAGAAACAAAATCAAATTCTTTTCTAGTGATGGTGGTATGAAGGTGAAATGGCCACGCATGTAGGGCAATGGATTCTAAAGAACAGACAGTACTGAAATTATCTAGTATGTTTTCTGATAGCAGAACAAACGTAAAGAAGGTGAGACATGATCCAGCATTCACCTTCTGAGATAGTCTTATTTCAAAGATTCCAATACAGTCTTCCCAAGAGGTACAAAAAATTCCCTATGACTTGTAATACTGGACACTAGATTTACTTGGTTGCTGCTTAAATTTCATATTTTAAGATCTCAACCAAAGTAAGGTTTTGGTTATGTTCAGATATATTCTTCAAGGATTTAAAGCCAAATCTTGAAAGAAGAAAAATGTAACATATAGAATAATCTCAAGTGTTCTGGACTTTAAAAATCATTATTTATTTTGTGATATAATAAGAAGTGGATACATGAAAAAATAACCAAATAACAAGCAAGGGTTATTTTAAATTTACTGTGCAAGTCTCCAACACTTTCACCACAATTGAACCATACTGTAAATAACATTGTCTACAGTAGGGCTTTTGTGTCAGTATTGGATTAAGCCACTCTGGATAGAAATCCAGCTTCTGTTTTAGTGCTAACTACATCCAGTTTGTGAAAAAAGCTCTATGTTTAGGCACAGAAAATGCGTTTCAGACTGATTTACTGACATGTTATGTGTACATAGAACGATGTTGTCCAGGCTAGTTCCAAATGAATTTGAAGAAGATAAACTGCACTAGTGCAGCGCTCAGCCTGCTTCTCAACAGAACTCATCAGCCTAGGCATTGTGCTCACAGCTGTTTTGTTTCCCATAGTTAGTAAAACTCTCATCTCTATGAAATTCTACATTTACAAAATGTAAAAAGAAATGCAAGCTTCTTTGCATAGGGAAAAAAAACCCCAGACTTCTATTGGAAGAGCAAAAAAAAAAAAAAAAACTATTAGGAGGAAAAAAAAAAAGAGAAAAGAAAATGATCATATTTACCTTTAGTTCTTCAATTTCATTTTGCAGAATACTCTCTTTCTGGACCATATGTCTTCTCTGGGAATCTAATCTTGACTCCATCTCATGCTTTGCTTCCTCTACTCTGCAGATCATTTCTGACCTAAAAAAAGGTTATTTCTCCTTTTAAATCTTGTAAATATGGCAAAAATAAATTCTCAAATTGCAGAAAGACTTCTTGCAGCCAAACAGCCTGAAGCAATTCCCATCACACTCTACAAGACACCTCTCATTCTTGCAGCTCATCATGCAATATTCAGTGTTGTTCTTTTTCCTGGACAGAATGCCCAGATCAAAAAAAAAAATACTAGCATCAAAAAAGAGGGTTTGGTGCCCAAATGCAACAACAATGGATAACATATATAAGGGACAATCCCATCATATTTCGGGGGGGGGGGAAAGGAAAACTAGGAGCACGAGATCATGAATGTTGAGCTTTAAACGATTTATTACCTTTTACCTATAGTATACACTTGGTTAATACTCAGCAGAAGTAGCCAAGATAAAAACTGTGAATACTATAGTATCTGTAAGCGTGTAATCTTGTCACTTTTATGGTGGACATTAAATAATAGGATACACTAAACTATTATAACCTAATTATTCATTCACAAATTCACAGCCAAAAAGTAGCTGTTAATACATTAACCTTTTGAGTTTAGAAAAAAGGCAAGCTAGCATCCTTACTAGCAGAATTCCTTTGTGTCCCAATGCTTTTTTAAAAAAAAAAAAAAAAAAAAAGATTTGAGCCTGACTTGACGGCAACGTTCAAGAGCACAGGACTTGGAGAGCAAGTTAAAAGACAGAAACAAGAAGAAACATGGAAAAAACAGTCCAACTGGAACATTATGGAAAGGGAAAGCTAAAGTAACATATATAAGAAGAAAGAGAAGAGGTTGTAAAGAACTGATGTATTCACTGACTGCTACGAACCTGCTATGGTTTTAATCAAAATGTAAAACTAGATTCTCAGAGGGAGATTTTAGGAGAGCGAGACTATAAACTGGAGAGAAAGATTCTCTATCAGTCAGTATCTGCCTGTAACTTCCAAAATGATTAGAGATTTTTGTCCTCAAGATTTAAAAAAAAATATATAAAATGTAATTATTAAATAATGTGACTCTGCCTCCATTGCAGGCAAAGGGAAAAATTAAGTTTTTTTTTTTTAAGCTTCAGTTTAGTTCCTGGTAGGTATTTTCTCATTTGATGCTGTCAGTTCACAATTTTGTTCAATAGCAACCAATGGTATGACTTGTAATGATTTGGACAAAAAACAACAGCAAAAAAGAAAAAATAGTGAGTTTAAAGACTGCACCAACATATAAAAATACTCTGATTAAATGATTATTTAACAGATACCAGAATCCAGTGCTAGTATTTGAAATGCTCTATGCAGTTACTTTAGGCCCAGACTAATACAAACATCAAAGAAACAGAAGAGCTGTACCGAAGTAGTTCTAGCTCAGTTCTTAGCTCTGCTACACAATTATGCTGTGTGTCTTCTGCACTGAGAATGGTGTAACCACAACCATTGGGGCATTCACGGCTCCGATATTCACACACTGCCAAATGACCATCTAAGTTACGTCGTTCAATCTGAACTGTACAGCCTGAAAAAAGAACAGTAAGATAAGCCAGCCATTAACAACAAAAGCATTTTAATTAATTCCAAACAAAAACACTCAAGCAAGCAAGCCACAATACCCTGAGCTAAGCAACTGTTAATTAAAAGTCTTTTCTTTAGAATATGGAATGAGATCATTATAATACACATACTAGTAATAGTACAGACTCTAAGAGTCTTATCAATGGTAGGTATTTTCTGTAAACTATTCTGTCACTAGTCTAGTATGAGTGCAACTTCAGTAATGACAACACTGACTGATGTCAAGCTGAGACTATAGCAGCTTGCCTGCTCTTCTACCACAGACTGCAGTGACTTGACTTGAAAAGGAAGGAAAATGTGTAAAAAACTCAAAAATAGAGAAAAGGTGCAAGGATGCATAGTAAATTAGTGGGTGAGCTGGAATGGAACCTTGTTTTCCTGACCATTGGTCTTGGGTATAACATACTAGACCACATAAATAGTCAAGAACATTTATTTATGAACCTACAAAACCAGTTGCAAAAATAGAACCATTTACACAAAAATTCTAGGATACAAACTTTACAAATCCGTAGTAACTGAAAATAAAATGTAGAGAACCAAAAAAGAATATCACATAAATTATCATCATGTTTAATACTCTAAACTTTGACGTTTGTAGTCTTACTTTTAATCTTTGAGACCATGTTTGCTGTAGCATATATTTTTAGCTTGCATTTCATTTAAAGATAAAAGAGAGAAGAAAACCGAAAGAAACAATGGCACCATGAAACTTGTCAACAAACTATTCCAGAAAATTACAAAAGACAACTCTCTAATGGAGATTTACTAATAAATATCGTGATACATAATTGAGGTACTTTGCAATATACTCTGATGTACTTTTGAGAAAGACTTCAAGAGACTTGAGAATCCTCAAGCCCCAGAATATGATACATCAGAGCTAGTGTGTGGTAACTGTAAGTGCTACTGATCTGTTTCAGTAGAAAGCAAAACTGGATAATTTAAAGCGTCTACAATAGTCGCTTACTGCTGAGAGAAACGTTAACTTCCCATAGAGCAATACTAGCACCTTAATCTTCTCGTTATTAATTTCAATGGCAGACTTATGCCCTTTGTATCATTTGTTAGAAATTAAATCTGCCTAGTAACATAACCTTTTGAATAAAGCTGAATGGAAAACTTCAACAGTAGGTTTCTTCCTCAGGAAATGCAGGTTCGTTTAAAATAAAGACATGAACGTATCAATTCTGACAAGACTTCAGTTCAAAAAAATTGTCACGCACAAGATTAGTTTTTCCTAAAACTGAGAGAAAGTGAGTGACCACACATGAAGGGTACACACCCAGGCAACTGGCTGTTTTATAAACAATGACCTATAAGCATGTGACTTCTGTAGATACTATTATATTGATTCAGTCATGACAATAAACAGTCAAAACTGAAAGACATTCAAAACTTGACAAAAAGCAAAACAAACGAATTACTACATTTTGACAAATTTGAAGTTGATTTTTCTGATTCAATTTAGTTAGTTTTTGGATAAGAAATTGTTGCTTACGAACAGGATTGCCACAAATTAGGAATAAAGTTCGCAGAAAGACTGCTGCAAGGAGTACTACCACTGTGACTTTCTGTTTAGCTCTTTTTGTATGTTTGCTGAACAGCAGCACTCATGCATCAGAGATCATGTTCGTACAGAGATGCACGAGGAGTAGAACCTACTTGTTTCTGCCAAAAGAATATTTTCTTGGCTCGTTTTGGTCTAGCATTCAAAAGATCAACATGCAGAGTTAAACCTAGAAGCAAATGAACGGCCGTTTTCCCCGTTCTGTTTGACAAAAGGTGACAAATACATGTTCTCTGAATAAAGACGATTCAACTTCTTTGAACGGTACTCACCAGCATTGGAGCAAAGTATCTGACTGTATTCACATTCCCTTTCATGCCTGTCTATAGACTCTAGAGAGCAAACCATTTCACAGCCATACTCTCTGTTCTTGCAATGTAGCTGAAGACGGTTTAAATCATTCTTCATATATCTATGTGCAAAAAATAAATAAATATATAAAAAATCTTGGATGGAAAATACATTACTGAAAAAAATCTGTATTTTCCACTTTTGGGAACAGAAAGTAGAATTGTATTTTTCCATGAGGAAAACTCATGAATAATCTATCTACAATTTTTTTTTAGCATTCAAATGACCATACTGGAAGAAAACATGGAAGATCATATTGGCTTAAAAGAGAGAAGCAATGTTAACAGAAAAGCCAGTCTCCAAAATTAACCACGCAAATAAATTTCCGAATAAAGTTTTAACTGTATCCTTTAACTAGCTCAGCACATATTAACAATAATAAACACTTGGGCTACAGATTAAGCCATTCACCATTTAAGTTTTGTGTTTCCAAGCATGCCAAACTAAACTGAGTACAATAAGCACAGACAAAATAAATTATAAGCTAAACTTTGGGACTTTGTCCACATTATATTTCAACTTTCCGTATAATATAATCTCACTACTGATAAAAATAATGGGAATACCAACAGAGTTAAAACTCTATGCAATAAGAATTAAATTAAGCATAACATAATTTGTTAATTTGTTTGAGCAAGATTAGAAAACACAAGGGCTAAAGACCCAGCAGTGTCTCCTGATAAAACTCTGTGTGCTGGCAATAGCAGGAATTGCAGAAAAAAAACTCAAAAAAACAGCCTGCTTTGTGTGACAAGGACCAAGACACATACTCCTATGGCTAAAGACCTTCTAAGAACAGGGATTTGAAAGCAAGAAGTCTTATTCATGTCTGCACGAACTATTCGTTACAAACTGTAAAGATATTGTTGCATGGCTGGGCAGAAAACCTAAAATCACAGCGTTTAGTGACTGTTGCTGTCAATTGCTGCATTGCCTGTTTTCTGTAAAAGAGTATTCAAAAGCATTTTCGTGCTGTAAAAGAGATTCAGAATAACATCCAGAGAGATATCTACAATCAACACTCACAGTACAAAAAGGTGGAGAACAAACTAAGTGTTCTATTCATTTTGAAATCTGCAACACCTCAAAAGTTAGAGTAAATAGAAAATGTTAACGTTCTGATCCAAATGATCGGTTTTTGCTATAGGCATACTGAGTAAGGATAATCTGAGCGACAGAAAATGGGAAGAAAGGAAGCTCTGCAGGCAAAGTTGGGAAATCCTATACTTATACCATTTCAACACAGAATGATTGTTGTATACCTGTAGAGAGGTCGTAGCAAAGATACATCAAGCGTTTGTCTGTCTTCAGGGCAGTTACTGTGATGAATAAGCCATCCATGTATACAAGCAGTACAGAAAGCATGCTCACAAGGAGCTTGTAATGGATCTTCTAACACATCTCGGCAGATGGAACACAGAAGTCCTTCGTTAACGTAGCCAACAAAACGCTCAATATCATAACCCATGCTTTCCACACACTTTCAACCTATTAAAACAACATACAGAGAAAAAGTATTTGTCCTGAATCCACAGGGTTAGATCCACAAAAGGGCTGGAAGCTGTTTGAGAAATATGGAGAACTTAAGCTGCATGCAGAACTTAATTGGTGAGAATGCAAACACTTATATATTTTGGAGACTTCAATACCTAAGGGAGAATTTGAGGATTGTACTGATAGACTTCAGCATCCTAGTTTTATATCAAGATTCTCTGAATTCTGAAAGCAAAGACATTAGCAGATCTTTGCTTGTTCTGGACTCTGCTACAGAACATGGTTCTCATAGCCATTGTGAAAACATACAGTTTCTGTTTACCTGAATTATACCTGAAGTACAAACATCAAAAAGTTCAAATGGAAGTGCTTGCTTTCTCTTTTATTGCCTTTTATATAAGGCCTAACAAACTTACAAAATTGTATCCTTATGGATAACAGCTGTGGTACTTCCAGCCAGCAGATTTTGTATTTATGTTGCTTTCATACTAGGAAAAAAAAAAAAAACCCAAACCCTAAGATTCGCTATTTGTTGTAGACTTCTATTCCAGAAGGAATAGCATAAAATCTCCATATGCCTAGAGAAGTACACGATCTCCAGGAAGTAAAAGAAGCCAGAACTGCATCTAACTTTGAAACATCTTCTCCTCCAGGGTCTGTTTTTATAAAACCGACTGCCTTTTAAACAGATTTGAAAGTTTTGTGAAGAACTAATAGGCAATCTGCCTTTATTAAAATCCTATCAGGAAAAACTTGCTAAAATTTGGAAAGACTCTACAGAACTCACTCAAAAGGAAAGTCTTTTAGCCTTTGCATTCCTCTTAAACATATAAGCTTACTTTTCCAACCCCACTGAGAATTACAGAACAGATTTTCATTATTTATGCGGTTTTCTGAATAAAACAGAGAAGCAAGAAATCCTACCTTTTTAGATTTAACTATATAAATACCTAGTTTGTCCAAACACTTCGGAAACAGTTTTCAGATCAGTAAGATAGTAGTACTTCCTTCCTTTGGTTTCTCTTCACTGTTTCATTATGTCTATGAGAAAATTAAAAAGAACAAGGCTCAGCTGCGTCCAAGTTACTGAGTCCTATGTCTAACCAGCTAGCTGCTGAATAGTATGCTGTCTTAACAGTCCATTAAAAAAAAAGCTTTCAGAAGCATGTCACTATAAAACCTACAACTGAACACAAGAGATTTGACTAGGAAAAGGAAAAAAAAAATCAAGAGTGCTAATGTAGTGCTTTTAGGAAGTGTTTCAAGACAATGCATCTAGGCAATAAGTGAAATGTTTGTAAGACAAAGTTATAATCGCAAGCTGTTAGAATAATAGATTTTTAAAGTTATTTCTGCCAAATTCTACTTTTTAATGTATTAATTTATAGATAGAATTAAAAGGAACAGTTTAAAATGATTTTAAAAAGCTAGGAATAGATACATTTTGGCTTTAACTGGCATTAGATTAGTGCTGGTGAAAGCCCATATTAATCTTTTCACTATCACTAGTAATATATTTGAGACATAAAAAGGGTAAAACACAAAAAATCCACACAATTTTAAAGAGTGTTTCACTTTAGAAAAACAGAATAAGGACAGTTTTTCCTTTCCATTTTAATTCCATTTTATTATGATAATTCTTATTTCTGTACCTTAAAAGAAATCTCAAAGTCAGGACTTGAAACTGTTAACTTTTCATTACGAACAAAAAGTAACTGTGGGAATCTCAACAGAATTGAAATAAAGCACTGACACAGGTGCAATGAACTCCACAGCTAGATGAACCAAGAGATTAGAAACAGGTATCTATCCAGGTTAGAGACAGATTTTTTTTTCCCCCAGAGAATGAAACAGCTTTAGAGTTTTCCAGGGCCAGAGGCCTTTTTTTTTTTCTTCTTCTCCTTTTTGCCAAACGAAAAAAACGTAGAACTTGGCAAACATTGTTCTCCACCCTACATTCCTCCTCCATAGCATACTTCCACACAGAAGAGTAGGGGGGAAAAAAAGAAAACAAAAAACAACCCCTAACAACAGAAATGAACCAGAACGCGTCTCAGTTTGAGCTGTCCAAGATTAAATGCAGAGATCAATGAAAACTTAAGGAATACAGTATTTTGAAACTTGCAGTAGTGTGCATATATGTTTAATATAAATGTCTGTAGTCTTTAAAAAATTACATTCCTTGTAAAAATCTTGCTGATTTAGAGAATAGGGTATCCTTTTACAGATGAGGAAATCAGTTCATACAAAACTAACATGCCTTGGGTTATACAGAGCTAGTAAAAAGAACATCTTTCCCAAATCACTTAAGTCTTATCCCCTCGCCTCTCACCACCCTCCCCGCCAAAAAATCCCACACTATTTAACTTCCCAGAAAAACATAAGTTAGAGTCTTATACATTTAAAGTTCTGCTGTGCATAGTAAAAAAACAAGCCTGATAAATTTAACTCACAGCTTTAGTCTCTTTCCATTATTACTGATGCAGACACATATTACAAAACTAACACAAGGCTACCATTTGATTTTGAAGTCTTATATATTTGTCTGTAAGATTGAAGGCGACAAAACTCAATATTATAAAAATATAATTATTATAATAAAAATATTGCAACTAAAATCTATTAAAATAATATTTATTACAATGATGAAAGATTCTTACCTAACCCGGTTTTATTCAAACATGATATGCAGCACATCTTTAAAACAGAACTGTCACAGTCAAGTTCATAGTACTTACAAACAAGATAGCTCTGATTCTTAACACAGCTAAGGATGCTCACTTAAAAAAAAATTAAAAGGAAATCGCTGCTTAAATGCCCTATGTTGACCTCTAATAATTCTGAAATGGCTTTGAAAGAGAATTTGTACCATCTAGCCAGAGTTTTGATTTATTTATCTACCTTGCTTTCAATTTGAATTGGAACTTTCTGAGAACAATATGAATCCACAGGACTAATGTTAAATTTTGTTTTCAAGTGACAAACTACATTAACAATTCCTCTTAAATGAGTACAACAGAAACCTGGAAATGAGAAGATCCTATGTTATGTGTCTGACTAGCAAAGCATATCTTCATGGATTACAAAAGGTGCTTGTGTTAGTGCGTTTGCTAAGATTAAAGTTAGTAAAATTTGTAATGGAAGTGTACAGAATACAAACAGGCATATGATTACCCAAATACAAGGCTCATCATCTGCTACACAGTTTCCACATTGTCTTTTGTTTCTACTGGCATGCTGTAGTACAGCCAATTCCATGGCTTGCAGACATGCCTGAGCTAGCTTCAGATTAGCTGGGTGACCCACTAGCTGGGTGACCTAGTGACAGCACCGTCACAGCAGCATGGAGCGTAACCCATATGAACTCCTGACAAAGTCCCAAGTAGATTTCACAGCCTACATTTAGCTTTGCACTTCTGTGGCTACACTGCTATCAACAAAACAAGGTAACCAAGTTTACAGGTATCCTAGATATGTTATTCCTTTGGCTGCAGTATGGATATTCTATGTTTTAGAAGAGTGTGCTCAAGAAAATACTGTATTATGAAGATGATAACCAATTCTTTTTCATACAGTTGTTTTCTTTCATGCTTTTATAGGTCTCACGCAAAGGCAGGAGGTTCAGGACTTTGCTAGTTCAGGGTGAACACAACAAGCACTGCCTTTGCACAAAGTTGTGGTTGTAAGGACAGGCCAGCAAGGAACACAATGCAAAGTTTAAAGAGTGGGGAACAACGCTAACTATTAGCAGCGGAATGTGAAGACAAGTACTAGCTCCCAATGCAATCATTGAAACATATAGCATGCTTTTGCTGGAGGACTGTTTACTGACGCATGTATGTTCTATCATTTGAATGGTGAGCCTAAAATTTTGATTTGGCTTAGTGAATCCCAGAGGATTCAGCTTTTAGAATATTTTCAGAGAGATATAAGATTTTTAAACATAACTTAAACATACTTAAACTTAACATAACAGTTTTCCTGTCCTAGAGTTTCTGTACTAATGGAACTGAGGAGGCTGTAAATTATATGTCGCACACACGTCACTGAGATCTGAACACCAACCCTTCAAGACGCTCTTTGGCTTATTTTAGCCTGATTGATATCTATCAGAATGGAGGAAAGAATATTCCTATCAAGTGGGAAAATAAAACTTCATTTGAACTTGACAAAAAAATGAAGTGCATCAAACATATATATGAAAACCCCAACCCAAAAGAGAGCTTAAATGGAAGGTGGATTGGTGCTTTGAGGTAAATGATACACTTGAAGTGTTTCTGATAAAAACTTCTAAGTTTTAAACACTGACGTAGCAGCACCTACGCAATGCCAGAATCCTTGTGGCTGGTATAATGAGTCAAGGCATGTTCTCACTCTGAAACCTAAGACAATGTCGTTCACTAAAGTCCCTGCCACGCCCTCTGCCAGTAGCAAGTTCTTGACCTGAAGAACTGGAGATGTTTTATCTCCTGCCAACTTCAAGAGATGCACATTAGTCAGGAGATAAACAGAGGGACAGCAGCAGATATATGCCAAACTGTCTAGCAGTACAGATTGTTTATTTCAACCAAACAATTCACATCAGTTTCAACTTCTATTCCTCCCCAGGGATTTCTCTTTTCTTGACGACGTTGACCTCAAAACCTCTTCTCATGCTTTGCTAGCATTTCCAAACCTTGTCTTGCCTTTGCTTTCTCTGTCTTCAAGTTTGCCCATCACCCGGCTGTTACCAGCAACAGTGTCTCTGAGGATCTGGAATTTGCAGGTGCTAAACCTGGAAGGCAAGAAAAGACAAACTATGACATGTTGTTTGGTTTCCATTGTTTCAAATGTATTTTATTTCTCCTTCTAGTTTTTGACACACCACTGTCTCTCCCCATACTGGAGATGCAATGTCCTTTTTTAGTAGCTGTCATCCCATGTTGTCTGCAGATACATACCCACACCAGCCTTGGTGCAGGCAATGGCCTGCGTTGTCTTCACACAGATTTTGCGTACATAACAGCAGGAAGAAGCAGCATGGAATGCAGTTCCAAAAACCTTAATGGAATAGCTTGCCAAATGTCTGGCACTAATCAAAGATACTCCATTGCAAATTAAGACAGTGAAATCAGATTAATGACTTGCATTTTTTTCTTTTGGACTAGTTTCTATTTTTTGAAAAAATAATGTTCTTGCTCCAGGTGACAAAATAAAGCAAAGCTGTTTACAAGGCTTGAAGGAGTCACGAATCATCAGATGTGCAGCACTAAGACAGCACTTCTGCAAGTCCCATGCGACTAGGAGAAAAGCAATCTATGCAGGGCTCAGGTGACATTAAGATTCTGCTAAAACCCACTGCTGTTGCAGCTTCTATTTTCACAAGTGGTTATGCTCAAAAATATACTGTGCTTTAAGTTCTCCTATATAGCAACATTTTAGAGTGTCTTATGCCGCTGTCAGTCACTGTAACCCAGTTTAAGTCAGCATTAATGTCAAAAGAAGCAGCCTCATCCATTCAACCGTGACAGCAAAAGCTTGATGAATTGTAGGGATATCTGGTCTGTTCTAAAACTGAACTGGCAAAAGAAAAAGAAAATTTAACTTTAACTGTAGTCTTATAGTAGTCTAAGCCAATCTACCTACTAATTAGTGTCCTTTTAGCTTTCTTCTGCTTCTTCCCTTGAATCAATTAGAACGGTTCCTTTGGTCTTTTCCTCTTCTGGCTCAACACACTAACCAGACAGAAAACTATTCACTGATTTGCTAGGTTAGGTTTTGTTGCATTAATAGGCTAAGACGGCCTGGCAAAAGTTACAGTGATTGCAGAAGTGGTGCAAGATAGTGGATGAGAACCTGTAGCCAGGGCAGAAAGGAAGACAACAGCACTGATCCTAATTAAGCCTGCTACAGAACTAGTCTCAGATCAGTTCCCCAAACTGGTAGATCATGCAGCCACATTAACGTTTGTGCCAGCAAAAGAAAGGAAGTCGAAGGGACTAAGAACAAACGGCCAGCTAATAGCGACGAAAAAGCCTGCGCCTTCTGCAACAGAAACTTCTACGATAACCAGTAAGAGCTATACTATCAATTTAAGGTCAATGTCTCCGTCAGGAACCATTTAAGAAACTGGAACTACTTTGATAAGGCAAATTTTTTACGTAACACTTTAATTTGCTCCCCTATTGCAAAACCTACTCTTCAAGTAAAGTAATAGAAGATATTTATCTTATAGATTGCTTTTGGGGGTTTTGAAGGTCTGAAACCCCAGTACACAAAGAGAAAGGACAAGTGACAGAAAAGCGTCACTCAGAAGGCTCTGGTGGAGAAGACCTCCGCACTCTGGTGGAGAAGACCTCTGCACAGGTAAGAGAAAGGACTCTGGATTACGTATGGGAAAATTGTTCTGGAACTCCAGTTAATCATCTTGTCAGTGTAGAAAGAGCAAGAAATAGAATTGGAATAGATACTGGCCCATACTGGTGCAGCAACATAAACATGGAGCAACTACTTCCAAGCAGATTCAAACAATTAACACATACTTACTATTATCCCTTTGATCTCTCTAGAAAACAGTTGAAGAAGCCACCATCTGTCAGGTACAGCGACACAACTTCCAGCCTGCACTGCCTACACAACTAGCCAGGCCTGCACACAGCGAATACATCCAAGTTCCTTGTATATCTCCAGTCCTCGACCGCCCTGTCCCACACAGCTCAGCTCCACAAAGGTGTCCGCGGGCTGCCATTCCCCAATACCATTTGCCTACCCCCGCCTGCCACTTCCACAGCCCGTGTGACTACCGACTCGATAAACAAGGGGCT